ATTTTATCTTTTCAAAAGCATGAAGACATATTTTCTTCAGAAAATTAGATGTAATCCACGGCTATTATTAGTCGTTCTTAATGGAAAAGAGATTACGGCGCAGATTTGTAAAGAAGAAGTGTCTAATTGTGTTGTTTTAACATGCTTTTATATTATTTTGATTTTGAACATTTATTTGGAGAATGAAGATTGTGAAAGAGGCTGGAAATTGGAAAGAAGTTTCTATTTTAACTGTAATTACATTCTTTCTCTTACGCTTTTTTTATTGATCATGTATCTTATTCGGAATTGAGTGGGCTATCTAAAAGAATTTTTAACTTAAGGAAGATTTTAATGCAAAATGTGGTAGCTAAAGAAAAATCATTTTGCAGGGTGACCCCCTTGTATCTACCAAATCTGTCAATGAATCTCAGCTTACAGCTGTCCTTTGCTTTCTTTGTGTGTGTGACTGTGTGGTGTGTGTGTGGTGTGTGGTTTTTGTTTTTTGTTGAGGAATGGAGTCTTACTCTTGCTTGCCACATCTAGCGGTGCAATGGCACCAATCTCAGCGTCACTCAACCTCCACCTCGCCCACGCTCAAGCGATTCTCCTGCCTCAGCCTCGCCCACGTAGCTAGGATTAACAGGCCCCCCGCCAACCACACCTGGCTCATTTTTGCTATTTATTATTTAGAAAATGGGGTTTCACTATGTTGGCCAGCGCTCCGGTCTCAAAACTCCTGACCTGCAGGTGGATCCACTACTGTCGGCCTCCCAAAGTGCTGCGGATTACAGGCATGAGCACCACTCCTGGCTCAACTTACAAGCTGTCTAAAACACTTGGCTTTTTTCGATACGTAGGCAGTTGCCAAGCTAAATGTACAATGCCATATTTTTTGGCAAAATACCAACTGCTTTGTAAAATTGCGAAGTATTACTGCTATTAGTGTAAACTGCATATAAAATCTTCTACTGCTTTTTGTTTTTTTTAAGTTTGTATTGGCAAAAGCTGATATATCAAGTCTTCCTTGAAGACAAGAAGAAACACTCTTATTGGCTGCTGTCCTCAGATCGAGGACTGTGTGGGTGCTAGTTCATTCTGTCCATTTGCCTTAAACAGTATCCAAAGATCCCAATCCATATATTCGAGCTGGTTTCAGCTCTCTCTCAGCTCGGGCATATTTTGCTGCTGCTACCATTTTCATAGACTTGGTAATTTTCTGGATGTTTTTGATGGACTTTAGTCTCCTGGTAACTGAAAAATAGAAGTACTGTGTTAAGACAAAGGAATTACCGTCTAACTTCATTGTGAATTTATTGAAATATCTGTCTAAGTCCAAGGCAGAATAATGAGCACTTAGATAAACAATAAACAGCATGATGCTAAACCAGTCTTAATAGTACTAATAAAAGGAAGGCAAGACTAGCTACTACTTAGGACAAGCAAATGGCAACATAAGACAATAATATACATTTAAAACATTAAATGGTATTGAAAATTGCCTTAACCACATATTCCGTAACATTATTTATATATAATTCCATAACATTATTTACCCCTCCCCACACGTACACCCACCCACACCCACACTGGTATAGTTTTTTCTAGTTACGTCACGATCATTCTACAGACAACAGAACACAGCTTTCTCATGTGTCCTTTCTTACTGGTCTTTTCAGAACAAGTCCAGCGTCCCAAACATACAATGGAAATCCATTTGGTCAGTTTTGATCAAATATACAATGGGCTAAAGCAGTGTATTTTTGACAGTATTTGTATTTGTCAAAATTTAGTTTTTCTTAATTCACATATTGAAACAAACAACATACTTACTATCTTTCAAAGTTGCCATATTTCGAACTTGAATCCTGAGGATAAAAGTTTTAAAATTATTTCAGTTTTTTGAAACATAGTTCCGTTACACAAGAACAACTTTCAGAGTTAATACATTGATTTAAAGAATATCCCATAAAGAAGCAATCTATCAAATATAGGACTCAGAATGTATATGAATAGACATATATTTAAATTCCTTAGTAGTGGCGCGAATCCCTGTATTGAAGGCCTCCTTTCATTTGGCCTGTCTCTAACACCACCTTCCCTGAAGTCAACATGCTCTATTGACTCCTACATGTTCTACTCCCACCTCCATATCTTTGCTTATGTTGTTTCCATAACAGAAAAGCCCCTCCCCTTGTTAAGCTGCCCAACTATACTTCAAGTCAAGGCCAGCCACTCTAAAAACTTCCTGAGTTCACAGCAACCTCTTCCGGCAATACTTAGAGTCAATGATGCAGTCGAATATGACTACACGTGTAAAAGTAGTTTATATCAACTGATTCTTAACTTTTTCAATTCAGCTCAATAAACATCTGCCAAGCTGCTCTACATTCCAGGCACTGGTAAACACGACATGGTCTCTGACATATTATTACCTCATAAACAAGGTTCATGAAAAATTACATTTACATAAAATTTAATATTTTTTCAAGTCTTTAAAATTGAAATGCTAATGTGCAGAAGTCAAAATGATTAGACTTAAATGAAACGTTGGTGAAAGATGAATATGAGAGAATTCCTGCCCTAATGGGAGAAGACATGCTAAAAAATATGAAATTATCCTCCTGCCTTCAAATCCATACAAAGTGCCTGTGTTTTCAGGCAAAGCTACACTGGAGAATTGAGCAACAAGTAAATGTGTTCACAAAGGAGGGACCTAAGGAGGGGATTCTCAGGAACGGGATGTCATTTTAAGAGGATTCATGTTCAGGAAAGAGTGAGAAATGGAGAAGGGGAAGCTGGAGACATGAGCTGGGTTTGTTACTTTAAATAATATTTTTAAATATTAAAAAAAGCAAATCAGTTTAAATCTTATTTGTAGGTTAGTAGGGAAATGAATGTTTATAAGCTCACAAATCAGTTTAGTATTTCAGCAAAGTATCTCAGATGGCAGTGACAAGCGTAAAATGAGGTTGGAGTTTTGATGAACATTGAAAACATGGGGACATAGGCTGCCGCAGCCTCACGAGAGACCTCAAGAACCTGGACAAAGATGCCAGCAAAGCAATAGGAGACTAGATTTGTGAGCATTTAACTTCTTCACATGTACATTCATAGTAGAAAGGAAAACAATAAGAATGATCTAAGGTTTCTCTAATTGAATGACCTCGGTGGACGGTGACTAATATCGCTCATGAGCATAGATTAGATGCAAAAATCCTCAACGGTGTATTAGCAAATCAAATCCAACAATGTATTAAAAATAATTATACACTGTCACTAAGTGGGATTGACTCCAGGTATGCAAAGCTGGTTTAATATTTAAAAATCAATACACCAACAGGTTACGTCAACAGGTTAAAGAAGAAAAAAGCATACAATCAATAGGTGCAGAAAAAGCATCCAACAAAATCTAACACCCATTCATGATAAAGTCTCTCAGCAAACGAGGAATAGAGAACTTCTTCAACCTGCTAAAAAACAAAATACAAAAACCTTGACTTAATGGGAGAGGCCAGGAGCTTTCCCCATAAGATTGGGAACAAGACAAGGAAATCCCCACTCATCACTCTTCTTCAGTATCATACTTGAAGTCTTAGCTAATGCAGTAAGACAAGAAAATAAGAGGCATAGAGATTTGAAGGGAAGGAATAAAACTGTTTTTGTTCATAGATGACATGATTACCTATGTAGAAAATCCCAAAGAATAAAAATAACCCCTCCTAGAGCTGATAAGCATTATGACAAGGTTGCAGGATATAAGGTTAGTGTACATAAAAAGCTAGTTGCATTCCTCTACAGCAGCCCTGAACTACTTGAGTATGAAGTTAAAAATGCCCGCACACAATTATATGGTTAAAATTATAAACTTCATGTTACATGTGTTTTACAATTTTAAAAATCCACTAAAATCTCAACAGGTTACTTTGTGGATATCAATAAACTGATTTTCAAGGTTATACGGGATGGCCAAAGACCTAGAAAAGTCAAGCAATATTGTCAGGACTAACACTACCTGACTTCAAGACTTCCTCTAAAGTTACAGTAATAAAGAAGCAAAAACAATTAAAGGAAAAAAGGATATTCTAACAAACAAATGGTACTGGCACAACTGGACACTTATATGCAAAAATACTAGTCTGTACAATGACCTCACAAATTTCATAAAAATTAACTTAAAATTAAGCACAGGCCTAAATATAAACTGCCAAACTGTAAAACTTCTAGAAGATACCACAGGAGACAATGCAGGTGCCTTGGGTTTGGCAATGAGTTTTTAAATACAACACCAAAAGCATCATCCATGACAGAAAAAATTAATTTGGGCTTTATTGAAATTTAAAACTTCTGTCCTGTGAAAAATACTGTAAAGAGAATGAAAAGTCAATCCACAGGCTGGGAGAAAGTATTTCTAAAACTATCTCTGATAAAGGACTTGTAACCAAAACAAACAACTCTTAAAATGCAATAAGAGAAAAAACAACCCAAATTAAAAAATGGGCAAAAGATCTAGAGACTTCACCAAAGAAGATAAACAGATGGCAGGGCCGAGTGCAGTCGCTCATATAATCCCAGCACTTTGGGAGGCCGAGGCGGGCGGATCACGAGGTCAGGAGTTCCGAGACCAGCCTGACCAACATGGTGAAACCCCATCTCTACTAAAAATACAAAAAATGAGCTGGGCGTGGTGGTACGCGCCTGTAATCCCAGCTACTTGGGAGGCTGAGGCAGGAGAATCACTTGAACCCGGGAAGCAGAGGTTGTGGTGAGCAGAGATGGCGCCATGATTCCGCCTGGCACACAGGCAGACTCTGTACCCCCCCCCACAAAAAAAAAAAAAAAAAAAAAAAAGATGTAAACGCCCATTTAATGCTCGTATCATCATTAGAACATGCAGTTAAACCAGTAAAATACTTCACACTGCAAGAAATGGATAAAACCCAAAAAACTGACCACCAAACGATGAATAGATGTGGAACAAAAGGACTCTCACTGATTACTGGCAGGAAGTAAATAGTACCCCAGCACTTGGGGAGAGATGTTCTGGCAGTTTTTTACCAAGCTAAACCTGTCTTAACTCACTGATTAGCATCAGTATTGGCCCACTGAGATGGAAAAAGTACGTCACATAATCTAACAGGGCATGTAAAGCGGCTTATTCATGATGCCAAAAGTTGGGGACGCACCCCCGAATGTCTTTGATATGAATGAATGGATTCTAACTCGATAATCCATCAATGGGACCTTTTCACAAAACCACAAAAGAGCTATTAGGTCATAAAAGGCCTGGAGAAACCTTATGTGCATAGTGCTAAGGGAGAGAGGGCAGTCTGAAAAAGACCAAATCCTGTATGATTCTGGCTATACGACATGCCAGAAAAGGTGACGATCCAGCAATAGTTGAGAGAAGTGGTGGTCAGGGTTTGGGGGAGTAGAGGAGGGAATTTTTAGGGGAGTGAAGCTCTTCAGTATGATATTGTAATGGTGGATACATGTCATTAAACATTTGCCCAAATCCATAGAACTGTATAACAAAGAGTGGGTCTTTGTTTTTTGGGGTTTGAAGACAGGGTCTCACTCCCCTCACCCAGGCTAGAGTGCAGTGGCGTCCTTTGTGCTGGGTTACAGTCCTCATTTCCCCTTTAGGCTCTGCGCACAAAGTTTGAGTCGGCACTTGAAACGCTTCGTGGTGCTTCGATACCAATCCTCCGCATCAAAAGATCACTTTCGTCCCAGCTTTGTCAACATCTGCTGCGCGAGTGAAGTCGCGCTATTCCTTACCTGGCCGTGGGAGAAATAGCGCTCTATTTGGTGAATTTTCCAGCTATCAGACATTTGACTAGTGCCTTATTTCCCCATACTTTGATGTGGTTTATGCTGCCATTCTATGGTGCTGAAATGGTATGATGGATTGGATGATAACGTCTGAAATGAGTTGGCGCTTATTTGTGTTTGTAGCGGTGTCCTTCTATTTCGATAGTTTGTTCTCCTGTGCTAACAGATCAGGAACCCTTCACTTGGCTGTACGTCTGTGGAAGAGATGCCTCTGAGTGCTCCATCTAAAATGCCACAAGATCCTTGCGTGTTGTCGCCCCCTCTGGTGTTCAGGCAAGCAGAAGGTTCCATTTATGCTTTCATAAGGCTGCAGAAGATCGACAAAGACCTTTGACGAAAGGCATTTGCCTGAAGTGAGTTACCTTGTCTGGTCGTGTAAATTCCTGTCATCCTCATCTTGCACTATCACTAGTAGAGGAACTGGTTCTCTCACTCAAGCGGAGGTGTATCTGATTAGGCACCCCAACAGCCCGGGTTGAGATCGGGTGTGGTTTAAATTTGTCTGTGACCTGGTAGGTGGGAGCATGGGTTTTGGTCAGGAAGTCAAAACATCTGCCCAGCCTAGGTGGCGTAGCATGGTCTCCAGTTAGGCTCCAAGTACAGGTGTTGTTCAGTGTGCACCTCACTAGCAGTTGCATTCTCGCTTTTTCCTTCTGCATGGATTTTTGGGTCTTAGGAGCCTCCACCTCCGGGTGGTTGGGGCAAAAGTATTCCCTTCACTGTTTGCTTTCTCATATAACAAATCCGCTGTCAAGACATATTCTTTGGAATACCGATAGTATGAATAAGTTCGTATTAGATTGCCGTCTCTGGCAGAGGAATTCTGTAGGCACTGCGTTGTTGCTTATCGTGGTAGCCCATCCGTCGCGCGACAGAGGTGTGGAGAAGTTACACGAGAATCACTAGCAACCATTGTTTTTTAACCTGAGCTAATGTCTGTTGAGCATTCTCACTCCCTTTAATTTTTTTTTTCTTGTGGTTGGTCAGACAAGTCGAACAGCTTACTGCTCAGATCGAGCTTTGTTTACCTTGG